CCCCGTCTCCCTGGTCTGCTGGCTCCCCCAGCAGACCAAGGAGATGGGGAGCAGCTTTTCTCGCCCCGGAGGAGGCGGGCGGCGGGACCAGGCGTCCCGCCACTCCAGTCCTCCGGGGCGAGAAAATTCCTGTTCGTAACTGCGGATCCGACATAAGTCGGATCCGCGTAACTCGGGGACTGCCTGTATTGTAAATGAAGAAAAGTTGCATTGACTCATTTGTTTTGTTGAAGCTAGTGTACAAAAACAGCAGTGTGAACATTGAGGCTCAGACAGCAGCTCAAGCTCTCAAGCCTAGTTAGCCCCTGGGCCTGAACTTTGCTGGCTAGCCTAAGTCTCCTCTAGACATGCAGTATCCATGTTGCTATTTTTAGCATGCTAGCTCAAGCTCTGTTGGCACAAATCCAGTTGGGAGGTTCTCTCACAGTTACAGTGTAAAAATACTCAAAAACAGAGACCCTGAAACAAATTTTAAATAATGTATGACAGGCTGCAGCTGCTATTTTATTTTTTACGGTATCTCTTCCATAATTCTGATTAAGCTTACCTCAAAATCTATGTGCTCACACCTCTCTTATTTGTTGTTTGATGAGCAGAGAGGTTTTTATAAATTATTTCTCATGGGGGCTTGGGTAGTGGTGAGAACTACTCATACAAATGGCTGTGTTGCAGAGGTGGGGGAGATAGTAGCAAAAAGACTGTTGGCAGAATTTGCTTCAAATTCTCTAAAAAACAGCCAGACAAAAAGAACAGTCAATGTACAAAAATGTTTATTAATGCAATTAAGAGTAGGAACTAAAAGCTTGAGAAATTACGACAGTCTTAATTAAGATGTGGAAACCAGCTTTAATGATCACCCTGGAGTATATGCTGTACAATTGAGTTTTTCCTTAAACAAACATACTAATACAGTATGTACTCATTAATACAGTGTTACATGTAGCAAACGGTGCAGTTCCTTTATTAGACATTATTTAACTACTGGCCACCAGTCGTGATGTGATAACTAATAATTAAAAATGGAATTTATCAAATACTAGTCCTCACATTTATTTTTGTACTCAGGACAGATTGCAGATTGACTGCTCTTAAATTAATTTTGAAATACATCTACATATGCGTGAATATATTCCAAAAAGTGTGCCCTAATCATACGTTCATTCCATTCTAAAATGTGTACTTATCCAACACTCATTTGCAACTCCGTATTTCAATAAGAATATAAAAATGTGCCTTGACCTACAAACCCTTTCCTCAAACCACTACAGCATTCCTGTTGAAAAATCCTAAAGAAGTAACTTGCAGCTTAATTGAAGGTCAAAAAGTTCAGGTTTTGTCAGCCAAATGAAGTTTTGAATGGGAATGGAGAGAAGAGACCAGTGTCAGCTTGTAGGGGCAAAAGTTAAGTCAACCAATCTGGAACCTCAAAGCCTTTATTATCACTTAGGCCCAAGATATTCCTTGCATCTCCATTGATTTCAGAGAGGAACAATTACATGTGAATTTGGCCAAATCAGACTACCCATTCAAAAAAGCATTTTAAAAAGAGTAAGAATTTGGGAATTCATTGACAGCTTGTTTTGAAATTTTGGTTGAAAACCAAAGTTTTCTGCAGAATGAATTATAAATATTTCACAAAGGAACAAACTAAACATTACACATAATGTAAAATTATCTTTGTACACATTCCGCTGCACATCATTGTTCTAATTTTCAAATGCTCTGTTTGAAACTGTAAAAGTCATTAGAACCTTAAGATGCTGTTAGCATGAAATTTAAAATGACAGAAATTTGTTATAACTAAACTGTTAAAATCCAGTTTTATTACAACATAATGCAGTTATTTAGAAAGCATTGAAAGGTATAGATATCAAATACATCTTTTTTATTGAAAATGGTATTTAATATTAGAATTAAAGAGTCCTAAATTTTGAGACCTTTAGCAATGACTACTCAATTGAAGATAAATACAGAAATTAGCTAGTTATGCCTTATATGTAATGCTCTGTGTTTGGATAGTGTACTGCATAACTCTGATACAAACATCCACCCAAACCTTGGAGAAATATAAGTCTATAGAAAGTAGGTTGCACTGCTCATGCAGTGTAGCTGTATTTCTATAAGGTATGCTGGTATGAGCTTCCAAGCACAATTCACTGGTGCACATGAACATTACCTACCGTATTTTCCGGCGTATAGGGCGACTGGGCGTATAAGACGACCCCCTATCTTTTTAATTAAAAGATAGGGTTTCATCTTATACCCCAGCGCCCCTCCGCCTCCTTTGCTCCCGATGTCCCTGGTCTGCTGGAGATGGTCCCCAGCAGACCAGAGGCACCGGGAGCAAAGCCGCCAGGAGCGCCTGGGATGCCCCCCCGCCGGCTTCCCCCGAGGCTTTCCAAGCCGCGGAGGGGCTCCGGCCGGGGGGGGAGAC